TAGTAATACCACCTTGGAAACCAAGGAGGGGTCTCTATGAGTCGGATCTGACTCGATGGCAGTGAGTTTGGTTTTTTAATTTGTCTCAGTTGTCAATATTTAAAATTAATAAATCAAAGCATATTTACATATCTCATTTCGGTTCAAACTTAATTGTTGTTGTTAAGTTCTGTCGAGTCAGACCTGACTCATAGCGACCCCTCCTTGGGTTTCTGAGGCAGTATCACCACGGAAGTAGATTGGCCCATCTTCCTTCCGAGGAGTGGCTGGTGGGTTTGAACCGCGAGCCTTCTGGTTAGCAGTCAAGTGCCTTAGGCACTACACTATCAGAGCTCTCAATTTTTAAGACAATTACTATATAGTATTACAGAATTGTTATGTCCCTGTTGTTGTCATTGTTAGGTGCTGTCAAGTTGGCCCAAACTTAATCAGCTCTACCACAGAACAAAACCCTGTCCAGTCCTGCACCAGCCTCACAACCCTCAAGCCCACCATTGCAGCCACTGCGTCATTCCATCTCCTTCAAGTTCTTCCCCCTTTTCACTGTCCTTACCCTTTAGCAAGCACGATATCCTTCTGCAGGGAATGGTTCCTTCTGACAACACGATCAAAGTGGGTGAGACGAAGTCTGGCCATTCTCACTTCCAAGGAGCATTCTGGCTGCAATTCTCCCAGGACAGATTTGTTGGTTCTTTTGGCAGTCCCTGGTATTTTCAGTATTCTTCTCCAACACCACAACTCAAAAGCATCAACTCTTCTTTGGCCTTCCTTATTCATTGTCCAGCTTTCACATGTATATGAGGCAATCCCAATTGACAATACCATGGCTCGGGTTAGGTGCACTTTCGTCATCAAGGAGACATCTTTACTCTTCGGCACTTTAAAGAGGTCTTCTGCAGCAGATTTGCCTAGTGCAATACATCTGATTTCTTGACTGCTGCTTCCATTGACGTTGATTGAAGAACCAAGTAATATGGCATCTTTGTTCTGTCTCTCTATATTGTTAATATATCAAGTTAATGCTCTTTTCTGTTACCACATGGTTCCTTTTAAAGAAAACAATCTATATGATTACCTCTAGTTCATGTTTTAATGTTCCCTATTCATTACTCCTCTCTTTGGAGTCCCTGCATAGTGCAAACAAGTAGCGCTGGCTACCTACTGAAAGGTTGATGATTCAAGTGGACTCAGAGGTGCCTTGGATAAAAGGCCTAGGGATCTGCTTCCAAAAAGCCACAGCCATGAAGGCCCCACAGAGCACAGTTCTACTCCATGAAGACCCCACTGAGCACAGTTCTACTCTGAAACACATGGGGTCACCATGAGTCAGAATCAATGGCAACTTTTTTTTTTTTTTAATTTTATTTTGATTTGGGTGAAGATTTACAGCGTAAATTCACTTTTCATACAGCAGTTCACATATACTTTGTCTCATGTCATTGACCAAAATTTACAATGCAACAGCTCCCCTCCCACTTCCTCCCCATAGTTACCTCCTCCCAGTGTCCATCCCTCCATACTCTCCTGCACCCTGAGCTATCTCCCTGTGCATAAGCAGCCCTTCCTTCTCCCATGATTGTTCTCTCCAGGGCATGTGTCTACTTGAGGTAAATGTTTAACTCACATGCCTGTACTTTGTTTGGCTGGAAACCACAGGTGTGGGTTCAATTCCAGACCTGAAGGGCAGCTAGAGGCCACAGTCTCAGTGGTTCCACCAGGCTCTATTGGACCAGCAAACCTGGTCCCCACCTTCTTTTTTTTTTTGCCTCCAAATGATTTTGAGTTTTGTTCCACATTGTTCTCCCTCTCTATGCAGGATCTCCTACATCCCTTCCAAGTGGATGACAGTGGTAGCTGGGCACCATCTAGTTCTTCTGGTCTCATAGTTGTATAGGTTGCAGATCGGATGGTGTACCAGTCGCTAGGACTGATTGTTTCCTTTAATCTTGGTTTTCTTCTTTCTTCTTGATGAGGAGAGACCCGTTGTTGCATCTAGATGGCAGCTTGCTAGCTTTTAAGATCCCAGTCGCTACTCGCCAAAGTAGGAGGTGGAACAATGTTTTGTATAGTATGTTATGCCAGTTGAGCTTGATGTCCCCTGCGACTATGGTCCCAAGTCCGCAGGATCAACTACTTGGTCCCTCTGGGTAGCTGGCTGTGACCAAGCAATGCAATGGCAACTTTTTTTTAGCAATTTACTTTCTAGTACATTTTTATGCTCTGGTAGCACAGTGCCTAAGGCACTTGACTATTAACCAGAAGGCTGGCAGTTCAAACCCACCAGCCACTCCTCGAAAGGAAGGATGGGCAATCTACTTCCGTAGTGATACCACCTCGGAAACCCAAGGAGTCAGTATGAGTCGGGTCCAACTCAACGGCACATAACAACAACAACATAATTTTATGAAGGTATAATTTACATAGTCATGCAACCATTACAAAACCAAGCCATAAAACAATTCCATCACTTACAACTAAATTCTTCATGGGATTAGTGTTTTTAGTTTGAAGGTTTAGGGTAATGGCTTTCTGGGTCTATCCAGTCAATTGGCCTAACGTTTTCAGAGTTTGAGTTCCACCTCCTACTTCAGTGAGTAGCATCTAGGGTCTTAAAAGCTTGCCAGTGGCCACCAAAGACACATTTGGTCTCTATTCTCCTGGAACAGCAGAGGAAGGAGACCCAGGAGTCAGAAGGAAATGAACTGTAGGTTTAATGGCCTCCATAAACTAGTACCTCCATTACCTTGAGACCTGAAGAAGTGGATGGTACCTGGCTGCCACTACTGAATATTTTGATGAAGGATCCAACAGATGGATCCTGATCAAAAGGAGGTAAATTATGGAACAGAATTTCAAAGTCATATGGAAACCAGATTTACTGCATACACTGAGACTGGGGGAACCCCTGAATCTAATGCCTGGAAATCATTTGTAAACCTTGAACCTAAACAAACCCATGAAGCCACTTTTCATACAGCAGTTCACATATACTTCAGCCCAATTAATAAAGGATGTTTGCTTCAAGTGTAATGCTCTCACCAAGAATTATCTATGTGTTTAAACTGATTAACAGTTAACCTCAAGCATAGAGTAGAACTTGAAGGGGCAGAGATTCCAAACTAATGGTGATGAAACATGAGCAGAGACACTGAGAATGGTGACACCAGAGGCAGTATGCAACCAACGCCACTGAGCTGTTCGTGCAGAGATTGTGAACCTATGTTTGGTTCTGTATAACCCACTGCCACTGAGTCGATTCCAACTCTCAGCAACCCCCACGGGGCTTCCAAAGCCATAAATCTTTACGGAAGTAGATTGTCTCATCTTCCTCCCATGGAGCAACTGGTGGGTTTGAACAACTGACCTTCTGGTTAGCAGCCAATTGCCTTACCCATTACGCCACCGCATACTGCCACCAAAAATAAATTAAAAACGAAACAAACAACCCAGTTCCATCACCAAACCAAAACCAAACTAGATGCTGCTGAGTCAATTGCAACTCACGGTAACCCACACGTATCAGAGTGGAACTGTGGTCCAGCAAGTTTCCAATGGCTGAATTCTCAGAAGTAGACAAACCCCCCTCTAGGTCTTTTTTTCTAGTCTGAGTCTAGAAACGTTGCTGAAACTGGATCAGCATCATAGCAACACACAAGCCTCCAGATGAGTGGTGTCTACACTTGAAGTGCACTGTAGCCAAGGGTATCAAACACCATTTGCACCACCCAAGGGTTCCTTGAAGGTGTTTAAAAGTAAAAACCAGTTGCCTTTCAGTCTATTCCGACTCATGGAGACTCATGTGTGCAGAATAGAACAGCTTCATCATGTTTTTAGGCTGTGACCTTTTAGAAGCCCGTCAACAGGGCTTTCTTCCAAGGCACTCTAGTTAGGTTCCAACTGCCAAGCATTTTGGTGCCATCCAGTGACTCCCTGAAGGTGCCTGAGGGGGATGGAGGAGGGGTAGCGCACTGTGAACCTTGCTGGTGAAAAACGAATGCTAGGGGGCTGCGGAGCCAGTTTGAACATGGCTTCTCACACTTTCATGCAAGATTTCATTCCCCATCCACATGCTTAATGTCCCTAAGCACTATCTTAAGTCTGCACATCTCAGCCCCGGGATTTGTTTTTAGTGCAAGACTATTAAGAGTATGGGAAGAGTTTTGCCGCACCTGACACTGGGTAAGGGAGCTCTGGTGGCCTAGTGTCTAAGGCACTTGACTACTAACCAGAAGGCTGGCGGTTCAAACCCACCAGCCAGTCCTCGGAAGGAGAACTGAGCAATCTACTTCCATCGAGAAATCGACTCAACGACAGTGAGTTTTTTGTTTTTTATTTACACTGGGTAGGAAAGTCATTTCATGGGGTCGCCATGAGTATGAATTAACTAGATGACAAATGGTTACTTTCCTATCCAATGATGACGGACAGGGAAAACTTTGAAGTTTGTATTCCAAACTATGAGCAAGGTACCTTGGCTAGGAACACCTATTAGCGGGAAAACGCGCCCACAGGACTCAGCCGGTTCTCGAGAAGCCCGAGGGGCTCGGGCGAGCGCAGTTTCCAGCTGGGCCCCAGCCTGAAGTCCGCTCCAACCCCTCGGGGTACCCGCTAGGTCAGCCTCTCTCCAGCCCGTAGCACGAGGCAGCCGTTGACAACTGTGGGCCGGCCGTTTTGATTGAAAAAGGAGAGCCAGGAAAGCTGCCCAGCTTGGGCACCACGCGGAGCCAGAGCGCTGCTTCAGCAACAGTTGAAGAAACCGCTCTCGGGCTTGATGGAGGCGGAGCAGAGGCTTAGGCTGAGCCAACTGAGGAGCCTTAAAATGCCTGGAGCGATCCAAGGGCAGCCCTCAACGCAAGGCACTCTGGGACTCGTAGTTTACTTCCCGGACATTGCATTTCCCACTTTGTTTCTCTGCCTTTATTCCACCCCTCCTCGGCCAGCACGCCGACTTCCTGGTCGCCGCCTGTCTCCCCGTACGACTACACTACCCACAAGTCTCCTCTTCGCGTCCTAGCTCGGCGCGGGCGCCGGGCGTCTTCTTCGCACTACAGTTCCCAGAAGCCCTCTGGAGAAGTGCTTCCCTCTCTCACTTCCAGGACCACAATTCCCAGAGACTTCAGCTTCACGGAGTTTCTCTTTTTACCGAGTCTTTTCTTGGCTTGGCTGGACTTCAACGGGGCAGTAGGCCCAGGGCGACGGCGTGACCCGTCGTGAGCGAGCAGAGGGTCTCCTCAGCGGCTCTTTTTTCTTGCCCCTCAGTTCTCCCTGGTACAGGCCGTCGCGGCCGGCCTGAGCGGTGACCTGGCGGGCCGCGCCTGCGCTCTGCCCCGTTTCCTGCCTGGCTGGTGGCGGCGGCCATTTTGTTCATCCTCCTCCTCCTCCTGCTCCTCCTGGTAGGAGCGCAGTGTCCGGAGCGGGCTGGGGGGAGAGAGCCCGAGAGCAGGGTTCGGTGCCTTTTCCTCTGTCCCCAGCCGGCGCCCGGAGCCCCCCTCCCCTTCCTCCCCACCCCTCCCCTCCCCAGCCCTGCCCTCCCCCTTGTCCCGGGATCGCTCCGTCGCACCCACCATGATGGAAGACGACGGGCAGCCCCGGACTCTGTGAGTACCCGAGACCGGGGGTGCCAGGCGCCGAGAGGCCTGGGCACCGCGGGACGCTGGGGGAGGGAGCAGGAGAGCGGGGACTGAAGCTGGGACTGGCGGCGGCTTCCCGGCCGGGGTGGCGCGGACACAAAGTGCATTCCTCATTCTGTCCCCTTTTCCTTGGGAAGGAAACCCTCCCTTCCCCCAAACACGGTCACTTCCTTGGGTCTGGGGCTGGTCTCGACCTTTTTCTCTCGCGCTCTTCTTTGCACACTCCTCCCAGGCCCGGTTTCTGCACGGCGGAGGCTGTCAGGGCCGGCAGGGCGCCTTGCTCCCCGTTTGCTTTGGGGGCAAGGAGCTATGGTCCAGGGGCAGGGCCTGGTGGGGGTGGGACCGCAGCTGCCGGCCGGGAGGAATTAGCATTCACGCCCTCCTCGTCCCCGGAGCGAGTGTTCGCGGCTCTTCTCCCCGGCTCAGCTCTCGGAGGAAGCCGGACACTCGTCCGCCACTCTCGCCCCTTCTCGCTCTCTGTCCCACGTGCCCCCGCCCACACTGTCAGAAACACCCGCCGAGCGCCCGCTACTTTTGAAGTGCGAAAAGGACGCCTCTGGCCGCCCGAGCATCTTTCCTTTCTTGGATAACGAAGTTTACTTGGAGCTCTTCCTACGCTAAACTGACAGCCAGTTGTTGAAAGTCCCGTTGCTCTTCTGACGTTGCCTCTTGCTAATCTGTGCGTCGAAACCTTCAGCGTTGGCTCACATGATGTCCTCATCTGCTGTTCGACATGTGTCTTGGGGCGCTTTGTCCTCTGGCTGGCTGTCGCGTTTTGCTTGTAAGCTCAATCTAATGAATGAGTTTCATCTTCCAACCTCTTACTCGAGTATCCTTCCTTTCCTGATGAAGATGATGACTCAGCGTTTGGCTTCCTTTCGGATAACGTGGCACTCCTTTCTCCTGCATCTTTTTTTTTTTTCCCCCCCTCCTCCAAGTTAGGATAATTTCTGATGAAGTGTTAAAATTGAGCACCTTCGGTTTTCCTAGCCCCTCGAGGCGCAGCACCCCTACCTTGAGGCGTCACGTCGCTGCTTTGTTTCTCTGGTCCCCGCCTGCTGTTGATAGGATCATAGTTCACTTGGCTCTGCTGTCTGATGGGGAAATTCCTTTTGGGAGAATAGATGAAGGTGGATAGTCGAGGAGTTTGATTAGCTTCTCATCTCGTCTACCAAAAGAAAGATGAGTGAAGATACATCGATGTTGAATGTTGATATTGGGTTTGTTTTTGTTTTTTTTTTTTCAGCCATCTACTCATTCTTTTTCACTTCTATTCCTCTAATGTTTTATTAAAGTATTTGTCATTCTGTTTTGAGAATTTGAGGCCAACCTAAGCGCATCAAGTGCATGAATGAAAAGCCTGTTTAGCAGAACTTTTATGTTTGTGTTTTGTGCATTACTGCCTTCTCTTCCCAGAAAGGTGAAAAGTGGGACAAACTTGAAATTTGTCCATTAACATGTATCTGTTGAAGCCAAGTATTTAATTAGTGATGTGTACTTTGATAGAAACATCTGGGAGAACAAATTAGCACCTAGCTGCCATGTATTTAGCAGATGAAAGTTACATTGTATTTAAAAAATCATCATGGAAGCTACTAAATAATTGGTAAAGTTTCATGGCATTTTTCTCATGAATTTTAAGTATGTATCTGTTCCTTAGAAAGGGGATTGCCTGGTTTTGTCATGCTAAACAATATGCTGTTTTAATCCTTGTTGCTCATATAACTGCCTTTGCCTCTGCCCTGTCTTCACCCCCATCAAACTTTCCCCAGTAGGCTGATAAACTAATTTGTCACTTATTTCCTACCTCTACTTTCTCTAGCCTCCCTTGTCCTTTCTCTGCAACACATTTAAATTGTCTGTGTTTACAGTTGTCTAAAAATGTGGCATGTATGCAGATGAGTAAATAAACGTCTGAAGCTTTGTTGCACATGTGAGTCCATGTTTACTATGCTGTCTTCCCTTTTCCTTCTCCCACTCTTCTCCCTGGTGAGATATTTTTAGACAAGGCCTGCTCCATCCTCCTAGGTCTTAATCCTGCAGCACTTAGTTCACTGCCTGGAACATAAGAGGTACTGGATGAATATTTTAAAATTACAGGCAGACATTACTGTCATGCATGGTCCAGTCTGTTGCTTTTTATTTATTTGTTTTTTAATCCTCAAGTGTGAAATTTCGAGATACAAACACATTTCACAATTGGGATTTTTGTCAGCTTAATGAAATAATTCAGAGTAGATTTTTTTTTAAGTGTGCATTTTACATATTTCTTCACTAGATAAAAATAACATGAAACGTTTGAATGTGATTTTAGAGGTTGAAGTCCAGTAGGGTTTGTTTTAGCTTGTTTATGGAGATCCTGCTTGTATTTTACACTGTGATCTATAGATTAGGTTTTCAAGTCACTAGGATGTTTTTTAAAAATGTACTTTTAACAAAGCTTGTCTTAAACTGTTGTTTTAAATGCCTGTGTGTTACTAGTGAGGTTTTTTTCCTGCAGACACACACAAGCTAAGACATATGGTTCTATCTTCAGAAAACAATATGGTGTTTATAGCCTAGGTAGGTCTTTCAATATTCATTACCTACACTATTACTAATTTATTTGATGGTATTTAAAGTGGCATAGAATTGCTTTGATGTTGAGCCAAAAGCTCTGTTTGTCACATAGTTGCTTTAAAGCTCTTTTTTCGGATATCTGTCATTCTCGTCTGACATTTATTTTGGGGTGACATGTATTGAGTAACTTTGAAATAAGCAAACAAATGGGGTCATGCTGTGTTACACTGATGTTGGAACTGGCCTTCCTGACACCTGCTTCTTGGTACACACATTTCAGGCTTTCACTGTGTAGCTTTATACTGCAGTGATTGGATCCATGGTGCATTTGAATCCATAATACGATGCTAAATTATAATAGTGCACTGTTGTATTTGAGTTTGTTTTCACCTATCCAGTGCACAAAAATTGGTAGGAATTGTGAGTCTGGGATAATAGTGTATTACCAGGGCCATTCTTAGGGCATTTTCTTCACGATCAAGGTGCTGTCCAAAGGAGGCAGTAACTAGTGGTTAGAGTGCAAGCTGAGCATCTAAGGGCAACAGCAGAAGAAAATACCACAAAATCCCATTACAGTTATATCATGGCGTTAAGGACCAGTGGTTAAGCGCTCAGCTGCTACCTGTAAGGTGGGCGCGTTGGAACCCCCAGCCACTCTGTGGGAGAAAGATGTGGCCGTCTGCTATTAAGGTTAAAGCCTTGGAAACTTTGTGGGCAGTTTCTACTCCGACCCGTAGGGTAGCTATGGATCGAAATCGACTCAGTGACAGTGGGTTTGTGTTCTTTTGTTTGTATACCATGAATCCATGGCTGTATTAGGCCCCTTGTTCAACTTATTTATGCTGTTTCTTTAAAGTATGTGTGTTGCCAGCTCTTACATAGTTGGTCAGTTCTGCATCTCTCCTCCACTTTGCCTCCTCCCTAAAATGGAACGTTGACAAATTGAACAATTTATTAATAGTCTATTGAAAGATACTGTTGCAAAATCTTCTGTTATTAGGAATTTGTCAGGAATAAAATTAAAAAGTGTCTTTAAATTTAACTGTAGTATTTTGTGTAAAAATGTTGGTAATTTCAACCTTGATAGAGCTACTCTTCAGAGGGAGGAGAGCACAGTCCAGGTTGAAAGGCTGTGATTAGTCTTCTGAAAGGCATGATAGTCTTAACTTAAATTTCTGCCCTGTTGGACATAGAAAGTAGTTTGGCAATGTGAACTTTTGCCTGCTGTGAAACTGCCAAGTTTCTCGTCTCAAACTGGATTTTAACCCTGGTAGTAGAAATAAAAGCATCATTTTTAGTTGTGAATGCTTTAGTTCCTACATCCTTACAGTTCCTGTTCTTAGAAGATAAAACAGAATTCTAAGGTATGCCTTCTTATTATTTTTTAAAATTTCTTGCTAAAAATTATTGGCAATTTCCTAAGTGTTTACTCTTTGAAGTAACTTCTCAGTACAGGAATTTAAGACGCTTGTCTTTTCCTGTTATTTGTATATATCAGGTAAAAATTATATATTTAAAGACTTAGAATATATTAATGTTAATGTCATATAGCCAGAATAGAAAGAAAATGAAATGTAGAAATTATAATTTGGAAAGAAAAAGAAATGTTGGACTACCAAGGAATTATATTCTTACTAGGTCAACTATTGGATATTTCCTTAAATATTTTCATTAGTATTTATTTTGGGACAGATTAAACCATATAGTACAGTATTTTAAAATTTACAAAAAGTATCTGTTAGATATTATTATGGGAGCTCTGGTAGTGTAGTGCCTAAAGCACTTGACTGCTAACCAGAAAGAAGATTGGCGGTTCAAACCCACCAGCCAGTCCTCAGAAGGAAGATTGGGCAATCTACTCCCGTAATGATACCGCCTGGGAAACCCAAGGAGGGGTCGCTATGAGTCGGGTCCGACTTGACGGATAAAATTATTATGCATGAATTACAGAACTCTGAGTAAAGAAAAAGGCAATCTGAAATTTGGATGAAATGAAATAATTAATATTGTTTTTGTTCTGGTAAATTAAGATATTCTATATGTATGACCTCTGATGACCTGTCTCTGTAAAGTTGAAACCAGAAAATCCAAACCCACTGCCATTGAATTGATTCCAACTCACAGTGACCTTCTGGGGCAGAGTAGAGCTGCCCCATAGGGTTTTCGAGGCTGTAAGTCTTTATGGAAGTGGACTGTGTCATCTTTCTCCCACAGAGTGGCCGGTGGGTTCAAACGGCCAACCTTTTGGTTAGCAGCCACTGCACCACCGGAGTGCCTTCCTGCCTGGGAAACCCCATGGGGCAATTCTCCGTGTTACATAGAGTCACTATCAGTTAGAATAGACTCAACTACACAAAACAACAACATGTTGCATGGCTGGTCTTCTGTGTTAATTTTGGAATTGTTTGCTTCTTTCCCGTTTTACTGGAGGTATCTGAAATATGAGAAACCTAAAACTGGATTTCTGTTAAGTTTCACAACATTCTAAACTTAGATACTAACATTTTACTCTTGGGCATCAGTGCTATTAATATATATTAATAGTCAAAATGTGCCTCTCAGAATTGCTCAAAATCTATTACTGTTTGGAAATAGTTTGACATGAAGTAAAAAACTCTATTACAGTAATGTCTTTTATTATGATTGTTGTGTATTGAAGTTTTTCCTGAACAAATCTATGTGTAAACAATGTCTGTTTTAAATTACTTAAATTTAAATTTAAGTAGCCATTTTATTTTTGTTTTGTACCTTCAATATAAGAAAAGTAGATTTTATTCATTCTTCTTCTGTTCTCTTAGAAATGCGCTAACTAGCCCTTTAGGAGATTGAGGCCACTCGTTCATGAAGTTCCTTATAGATTTGGTTTATTTTGTGCAAAAAGAAATTATATCATGAATACAGGCTCACAAACCTTATGGGTTAAAATAGGGCTGGCAGCTGTGTATACGGTGAGTTTATAATCCTGTAACCTTTCACTGCTGCTGTCTGTCAGTGTGTGGCCCATCGATGATCAGCCCTCCTTTAATCACGAGGAAAAGATGGCGTAGTGGACCTAAAGCAGTCCCATCTGAAAGCTGTTGTGTATTCACTATGGCAACCAATGGGTACAAGACTTATTTTGGTCTAAGCACTCAGTTTCCAGATGTTATAAATTAGAAGAATAAAGCTTAGGTCCCTTTCTTTCCAGAAGAAATTATGTTAAATTTTATAAATATTGCTTGGTTTATGAGGTTGTTCATTATAAGTTTGAAAATTTAAAAAGGTTTCCCACCTTTATACACTGACTCCCAGAAAGACTTAAAAGTTCAGCAGTTTATTAAGATAAATTCATGGTATAAGATATATGATGAGGTGGTCATCTGTGGGTGGTCAAGTTATAAGTAACTTTTTCTTTTTTACATTTAAACTTACCTGTACTTCAAATTTTCATACGAAATATTTATGTTCGGTTTGTAGTTCAAAAAAATAAATAAAAATGCTCATCGTTGAAAGCATATGTGGATTTTCTAATTTTACTCTTAATTTCTAAAAGAAAATTTTACATTTGTTACCTATATAAAAATGTATTGTGTTGATTCTGATGCTAAAATGACGAGGTTTTCTTTTCTTTCACTTGTACTTTACTTGCCTAAAACAAAACAGTAAAGACATATCGTTGCTGCCAATCTTGTTTAGCCAAAAAGGAAAAGAAAAAAAGGGGCCTCTCATACCTGTGTGTTTTACTGTAACCTCACTTTAATTCTCTTTGTTCATTTCGTTATTTGTTTAAGTCTTATGATCAGGTATTTTAATGAATCATTATTTTTTGTTATGTGGTATATTTATGTTATAAATTATTTTAAAGTAGATCTCACATCCAGAAGCTGTAGTTTACGCACTGAAGATGATTTAACCATTAGAGTAAGATGAGAAACTGCTATCTAGGGTCCAGGATAGTACATCTTTGGCTTATGCAAGGTCTCACTGATTGGTCCTTTATAATGTCTTCTGAAGTGGTACGCTAGTGGCCTAAGAACAATTACTCCTTTCCTAAATAAGGGTTAATCTTACTTTCATAGGATTGCATTTAATTGGGAAAAAATTTATTGGAGACAGAGGAAGTTAAAATAAAAGGTGATGAGCTAAATAATAACAATTTAGAGTCTAAGCTGAAGGAAAATTTCTGATTTTTTTCTTCTTCTTCTTGTACAGATATGTAGGTAACCTCTCCAGAGATGTGACAGAAGTCCTTATACTTCAGTTATTTAGTCAGATTGGACCCTGTAAAAGCTGTAAAATGATAACAGAGGTAAGACCTTCCCAATTACGTGTGTTGTCAATTAGCATGATGTTTAATATTTTGAGATAAGTGAGTTGATTAGCATCATTTCTTAAAGTCATTTTAGGCCTAAAGTTATTCTAGTGGAGAAATTCATGTTTGTTGCATTGATTTATTACTTTTAATTTGTCTGCAAACTAGGCTTAGAATCCTATTTTATTTGAGAGGGCAAAGTTTCTGTTATTAGTCTTAATTGGCCATTCCTCATGATATAAAACCAAAAAAACACTGTTGCTGAATCAGTTCTGACTCATAGTGACCCTATAAAGATGGAATAGAACTGGCTGACAGGGTTTCCAAGACTAACTCTTTAAGGAAGCCGACTGCCACATCTTTCTCTTGTGGAGCAAGTGGCTGATGGGTTCAAACTGCCGACCTTTCATTTAGCAGCCGAGCACTATAACCACTGCTGTAACAGGACTCTTCCTTTCTTGGTACAGTTATTTTCAAATGATTTTGCTTATAAAAAGTTAGAGTTTATCTCAAGAAGCCCCTATTTCACAGTGGTGAAAAAGTAGATGGTACTTCTTACAAGTCCAGTAAGATTGTTCCTGGTTCAAGTAGGACATTTAAAGTTCAGGTATTGTATATAAAAGAGCAGATTATTATGTTCACAGTGTAGCACTGTGCATCTCTTAGGTTTTGAGTAAATATTAATGACAGAGCAGCTGTATGTAGATGTTGTTGTAGGAATTTAAATTTTGGGGTTAATAATTTTACTCTCCTTTTTCAAGTAGAACTTGATTTTTATATTTTCTTGGTTAAGACCAGGTAGCAGTGCCAAAGCAACTCATATGTTCAGCCTTTTTCTTTTCTTAAAATATTTACTGTGTACCAGGCACTACTAAACTGTGAGGGGCCCAGTGGTGAATAAGTCAGTCCCTAGCCCCATAGAATTTCAGAGTCTGGTCAGAGAGACAGGGGTTAACAGGCACTGGTGATACCAGTTAATAAATGAGATGAAAGGAAACAGCTCAAAGCATTGTGGGAGCACATAGGGAGGATGTCTAGTATACTTTTAGGAGGTTGGGGAGGTCCTTGTAAGAATTAGTATCTTATCTGAAACCTAAAAGGGAGTGGAAATAGGCTAGAAAGGAATTTGGGAAGAAGGGATTCCAGATGGAGAGAAGATCCTTGATCTAGGGGAGTAATTAGAGATAACACAAGTGCTTGTGAGAGCAAGAGGGGAAATAGAAATTGTAGTGTCACTGGAGTTTAGGGTGGGATCAGTCATACTGTATGCCAGGGAGGAGACAGGAGTGTTTAGCAGGGGCCAGAAACCATCCTAAGTTGGTATTTTATTCTGAGACAGTGGAAAACTTTTCAAATTTGTGTAACATACCGGGCTTCTGATCATCTTTCCTAACTAAGGGAGCTCATCATTTTGTTCTGGTGTATGTTTTCCCTTTCTGTCGTTGATTATCATTCATTCTTTGTTTCATTAATCAAAATCTCACTTTGTGCTAGACACTAGTGAAGGCACTGGGGAAATGATGGAGAGCCAGACAGATGAGGCGGCCTATTTGTGAGAGTATTGTCAGTAAACACATACACAACAGAATTTGTGATAGAGACGAGATATGAAGAGAATGAAACAGAAGGCCGCGATGGTCATTGGAGGGATGGTGCCAATACAGGGTGGTGGTGGTGTTATGTGCCGTCCAGTTGGACCTAACTCATAGCGACCCCTCCTTGGGTTTCTGAGGCAGTATCACTATGGAAGTAGATTGGCCCATCTTCCTTCCAAGGAGTGGCTGGTGGCCTTGAACCGCCAGCCTTCTGGTTAGCAGTCAAGTGCCTTAGGCACTACGCTACCAGAGCTCTAATACAGGGTAGTGGTAAGGAAACATGTTGCCTCTTTGAGCTGAGATGTGAATGACAAGATGGAACCACCTGTACTAAGAGTTGGAGGCAGAGGGAACAGCCCAATACAAAGGCCTTCAGTTGGAAATGAGCTTGGTGTGTTCCTGGAACCAAAGACCAGGATGGCTGGAAGCTGGTGAGTGGTGGAGGGGAGTGGTGGGACCGTGAGTCCAGAGAGGTGGGCAGGGTATACAATCACACAGGGCACTATGGCCCATGTGAGCGCTGCAGGTTTTATTTGGGTTGCAGTAGCAGGCAGGCCACCAGAGAGTTTTAAGCAGGAGAATGATTTGTGTTTTTTAGATTAAGCTGTTTGTGGACTGACTGCTGTGTAGAGATGGATTGCAGAGGGCAAGAATGGAAGGAAGGGCGCCATATGGGTTTTTTTCACTATGTAGGTATAAGAAATGATGAGGGCTTGTTCTCTGGAGTGATGACTGTTGAAATAGAGGTAGATAAATTTGGGATATATTTTGGGGTAGACTTTAGGAATGGATTGGCTGGGAAGTAACGCAGAGAAAGCAAGACAACCCTAAGATTTTTGTTTGTGCAACTGCGTAGGTGATAATGCTGTTTGCTAAAATAGGAGTGATGGAGGGAGATACGGGGTGAGTGGAGGAGTGGTAGGAAATGGCTGTTGATAAATTTAAGACTTGATCCACATGGACGTTTATGCAGGGAGTTGGATGACTTCATTGGAGCTCTGGCAGGACCACTGCTGCAGGTAGACAGCGGCGTGTCTTGTGGGGGCTAGATGAGAGCGCCTGCAGGGGTGCTGACAGAGGGGAGTGGAGGGGTGTAGGCTGAGCCCTGAGCACCTTGGTATCAGTAAGTCGAGGGAAGGAGGGAGAAGCACCTTCTGGAGGATCATCCTGTGAGGTAACAAGAAGACCGAGAAAAGCATGGCGAGGCGGAATAAGAGGGTGTTTGAAGGTGGAGAATAGCCATCACCAGTTTTGAGCGCTGCTTGGGAGTCAAGATGAGGACAGAGGGATCCGGAACTACACGTACTGCCGTCAGGTCGCTTGGCCTCGTAGTGACCCCTCCTTGGCTTTCCAAGGAGATACCTCTGTGGAAGTAGATTGCCCAGTTTTCCTTCCGAGGAATGGCTGGTGGGTTTGAACCGCCTTCTGGTTAGCAGTTAGATGCCTTAGACACTACACCACCAGAGCTGCACAGTGGTTGTGGTGAGCTTGACAGACAGTTTCAGTGGCATGTCAGGATGGAAACTGACCGGAGTGGATTTAGGAGAGAGTGGCACATGAAAGAGTAAAAAGAATCACTCAAAAGTTTTGGAAAACATTTGGTAAAATTTTATTTAACTATTTATTTATTTTTAAACCTATGGGCTTATGGATTTATACTTCCATTTGGGGGATGGAGGGACTTGAAAGGAATTTTTGTATTGTATCCATATTCCAGAACTACCTGGATGTGGACTTTTCAATAATTGGGCACTCTTATATTTCTGTCTTGACATTTATGTCATTAAACAAAAGTTGGTGACAGCACTAATTGAGGTAAGCACCCTGGGTGATGGTGTGAAATGGAGAGCTGCTTAAGGTTATGAGCTCTAGTATAAAAGGTCTGAGCATTTTATTTTCCTTTCATAAATCTTACTTTAATCTATGAAAAAGTCCTTTTTTTCCCCTTAGTTTCAGGATTTTTACTTCAGATATTCTTTATCTTAGATTCATGCTTTCTCCATCTACTATAATAAATGTGTATTACTGATTGTAAGGCAAACGTTGAAAAAAATTTTAATCTTTGACAGTTGGGATGTGCCTTAATGGTGCTTTAAATTCCATGTGTGTATATATATTGTTTTAATGTTGTTTTCTGGAAGGTATAGCAGGGGGGATCTGGCCTATGACTAGTGTAAATCTGAAGTCAGGTCAGTATGCATCAGTATGTTTTCTAGAGTCTGTGTTATTATGGAGGAGCTCTGGTAGCATAGTGCCTAAGGCACTTGACTGTTAACCAGAAGGCTGGCAGTTCAAACCCACCAGCCATTCCTTGGAAGGAAGGTTGGGCAATCTACTTCCGTAGTGATGATGCCTCAGAAACCCAAGGGGGGGTCACTATGAGTCAGATCCAACTCCACAGCACATTAACACATGTTGTTATGGAGCCCTGGGGTGGTACAAGTGGGTAACGTGCTTGGGCTGCCAGCTGAAAAGGTCTTGGAAGACAGACCTGGTGGTCTATTTCTGAAAAGTCAGCCGTTGAAAACCCTGTGGTGCACAGCACAGTTCTCCCCTGACACATGTGGGGTCACCGTGAGTCAGAGTCGACTTGACGGCCATTGGTGTACGTCATCATACATCACATTATCACAGATAGATCATTGGATGGATGTTTTGCTACAGTTACCAGTGTTTCTGCTAGAGACCATCAGGGCATAAGAAGTAGGAGCAAAAGGGAAAATCAACTAGCACAGTTTTAGCTACTTACTTGCTTTTAAATCCTTTCTTAATGAGTGCTGCTGGTAAACATCAGCTCTTTTACAAGAGAAATTTAAGTGTGTATTTTTCTGTGGAGACTTCCCTCATTTTCTTTCTCTGTTTCTTAACTGAGTTCACATGGCTTTGGCATTAGGATTTTTGTATGAGAGCCCGTAGTTTTGTTGTCAGTATTAATGATCACACTTTTTTCCCCTCAAGGAAATGCCTCTGGTCGCTTCGCCTCTATTGTTTTAGACGTCTTATTTTGGATTTTTCTTCTAAAACTTTCCTGGAGTGAAAAACAGTGATTGTTGAAAAGATCTTTATTTTATCTGGTATTTTTACCCCTTGTAAGTCCAACTAGAATTCCAGATTTTAAATATTATCTTTACAGGGCATTTTACATTGAACAGTGATGAACGTTTTTAACCTAAAAAACACATCTGTACAGTTGAATAACTATCTAATCAGGTTGTAATTGTAATATGAAAAGTCATTTCCGTTATTTTAAGTGATGACCTGGCTATCACCTAGGTGCTAGTAGCACTAGCTACTTCTCATAGTCTTTATAAGTACTGATTTGCCATCTGGCAGCAAGCAAAATGTTGTGGTAGAATGTAAGAATAAGCATCTCTCGTATTGGTGTTTCTGTGATGCAGAATTCCAGCTCTGTCTGGGAATATTTGATTCAGATGCATTTTCAGAAATTACTCTCTTGATCACTAGTGTCTTTCTGTGTTCTATGGAAGATCAAATTCAAAGTATATAGACTCTCCAGTTCGTTAGAATAGTTTGGAAGATCAGAATATTGATCTCAGTAGCTGGTTATAAATCTTAATTTTTCAGTTTCTATTCTTATTCCTTCCTTATCCAGAGAAGAGAATGTATGTAATCCATCCAGTCTTTGTAGCAGTATTGTGATCTGTAGTACTAATCCAAGTTTTGATCAGGAGTGAAGTTTGTGAAGTTAGTTCATTTCTGTATTTTTAATAGTCATGGGAGGATACAGTTTAGGAAGGATTGTAAGTAGAATTTATAAACATAAATTTTTAAATTTAAAAAAAATTGTTAAACCTTTTTAAACATGATTTGGGAGAGAAGAGCAGTGGGAAGCAGTGTTGCTCATCTCTCAAAAATCTGAGCTTGAGATATTGTTTGGTCCAATGTAAACTTCTGCTTTGTGTTTAGTATCCTTCACCAGACTTCTGTATTTTGATCTTTATCAGTAAGCTACTTTATTGCCTACATAAGTGGCTATGAAGTAATCTAAAGGCATTATAGACTAGCAGATAATTTTTTTTCATTGCTCTCTTTAATCATTGGTGACCTGGTCTGCTTTTATCTATCTACAGTGTCATAACACTAAGATTTTTTTGTTTAATACTGATAGTCATGGTTCTATACTGCCTTTATAGTTGTGTTTGAATACAACAGTAATCTGAGGTTTAAAAAGTCTGGTTTAGCTATAAATCTTATCTTTAAAGTGTTAGGCTTTCATAAGCTTATGCAATCGTCCTGTGTACATTCCTAGCTATCAGTAATGTTTTTTCCTGGATTTTCTTCTCAGCAACCCGATAGCAGAAGGGTCAACTCTTCTGTTGGATTTTCTGTTTTGCAGCATACAAGCAATGACCCATATTGCTTTGTGGAATTTTATGAACACAGGGATGCAGCTGCTGCATTAGCTGCTATGAATGGGCGAAAAATTTTGGGAAAGGTAAGAACGTAGGATGATGGCTCCTATAAAAAATGAGTGTGCACATTTGCATGTCAAATTAGTTTTAAATCATCTTTAGTGAATTTTTTAACAAATACTTAGCTGCTGAGTCATGCTTTTACTTTATTCAGTCTAGTGTTTTTACACAAATAAATGCTTGTGCTTGATAGATGATTTAAAAGTGGTGTTACGATCATAATAACATGCTTAATAATTGTATTAAATATAATCTTTATTTTTAGGAGGTCAAAGTAAACTGGGCAACAACACCAAGTAGCCAGAAAAAAGATACTTCCAGTAAGTACTTCTGCTGCATTTTACTGTGGGAGAGGCCTGAAATCACCCTGGCAGCATCTCCAGCCCAAACAGGGTGCCCTTCCTTCATTGTTGCCTAAACACTCGGTGGCTGATTTCTGAAGTATTTGATTACCAAACGCTTTGATTTCAGATCACTTCCATGTGTTTGTTGGGGATTTGAGTCCAGAAATAACAACAGAAGATATCAAATCCGCTTTTGCCCCCTTTGGTAAAATATCGTAAGTATCATAATTAATACTATATTCAGTAGTGATAGGCAAAATTGTGTATGATTAACTTGTATTGGAATCTAGATTTTCTTTCCTTAGTTAGTGTGGGGTTTGTTTGTTTGTTCGTTTTTTTTTTTTTTTTTTTTTAGTAATGTTGTTGAAAATGTTAATGTCATTTGAATGTTTTGGGGTCTTATTTTCATTTAATCCTGTATATATAATGTGTTTAAAAAACTTCAGTGATTCTGTTTGTTATCTTTGAAGCAGATGTTTGGGTAATAAAACCTATCAAAGTCAGACTTTTTGTCAATATTTTCAAAATTTGGTGGTTAAGGATAATGGAATAATCAAAAATAAGTGTGATTTATACTGTATTTTAAAGTTTCATAGGAGGAATTTATAAATGGGGAAAAGTAGGTAAATCCTTGAGTATAATGTGAATAAAGTAGAAATGTTCTTATTTAATTGTAACGATAATTGTGTTTTGATAATTTAGCTGTAAGTGAAAGTAGTGCTCTCACAATGTTAAAATGTTTCAATGTCTGAGTCATAAGTGTGGGATTAATTAGTAGGTATTTTTGTTAGTGGTTTTTGATTTTACTAGTTAGGAGGCAAATGTGGTTTGATTTTTTAACAAATTCTATGCTTAAGTTTCATTGTATACTACTTGATGCAAATACATTAGAAAATTAAACTGGTTAAAAATTCTATAAAATGTTTATCACATTTATCTTTCTGAATAAAACTAGTTTATATGTTTACTTCCTGTGAATCTAAATTAAATGTTGTAGTACTACTTTACAAGAATGTTTCAACTAAGAACAACAGCATTTCTTTCTTTATACCATTTGTTGTTCTTTATACTTAATTTAATTAAAAGAAAGATTTAATTCTTAATTTTCTATTTTGATGTTTGCTTTGCTTTTTAATCTCTAAATGTGGTAAGTAGTACTGTTTTAAAAATCAGTATAAAAAATAATACAGGTTGCTGTTTCTCAATCTTTATTTATACCTGAGACCTGCAGTTTTTTTAAAGTCCAAGTCACAATTAAAAGTAATAGCATTCTGGTTATTTTGCAGAATTGCTCATAAGAATGGACAGGATCTTGAAGGCTAACTGCAAGGAACTGTGCACACTGGAACTCAGTTGTAGATTTTTTTCTCATTTCTATTTATTCTTATTATACATTATTTATATATACATATTTTAGTATTTACATTTTAACATTCTATATTCAGTGGAGTTCTATATTTCCAATCATTTTAACTTACTCACTAAAATTTCTGTGTAAATTTGTTGTTTTCGTACTGGTGTGCTTAGCATTGTTGTTAGTTTTTTATTCTCCTTTCTTAAATTTCTGAAAATGTCAATTTTTCAAAATTTACAGCTGCCCAAACTCCAAAATGATGGTAGAGAATTGACCAAGAAAAATAAAGAAATCTGTTAACAGGCCATGTATGCCTTTTTAATTCCTATTTTTTCCTCTTTTTCAATTTTTTAATATTTCATATATTTTGTATCACTAGGCAGAAGACATTTAACTATTTAGAGATTGCATGGTAAAGTAGTTAGCATTGTGACAGTAATTTATAGAATCGGTAAACCTTAGAGGACACTAGCCAATAGAATATTAAGAAAAGGAAACTACTGTTCCTTTTAATCTTCAAATTTGAGCATTTAGTTTAGAAAGCACAGGCTATTTGATTAGATTGCATGTTTATTACATGTTTTTGTCCTACTGCTTTTTTCTAACAGGTAAAGAAACATTAGGGAGAGTTGAGGAATGGCTATAGTTAATTAGGGCTAACTGAAATTTTATTTTAAAAAATGCTCACAATACAGTGTGTGTGGTTCCTTTGAGTTTTTATTCTGAGGCTGACTCTCACTTCCCTCATTTAGCTGTGCTTCTTTCCACAGGGATGCCCGGGTAGTTAAGGACATGGCGACTGGGAAATCCAAAGGCTATGGTTTTGTATCTTTTTATAACAAACTGGTACGTTCTTTGAGCTCACTTTAATTTAATCATTAGTATAGCATAACTGAAACAAGCATTTTGGGATGTTAGCTACAAAACACAACTTTTATGTAATTTTGTGTGTGTTAAGGATAGAACGTTCTTTTTTCATGAGCTTGGAAATAAATACTGGAAAAAGATAGTCTGGTAACACTGTAAGGATAATGATTAAAATTGCATCTGTGCTTGGTAAATAAGATATGTTAGAAGTAAATCTCAACAGGAGTAAGTGATTGAATATGAGAATTTGGAGAGGGTGGTAGTTTATATTCAGCATTAACCATGAACTGCGATGTTAATGACTGCAGCAAATTAAGTCAATGAAAATTTAAACAAATCATCTTTTGTTTCTGTTAAGGAAGAAAATTTTATTTTTGGGCTTGAAAAATGGTGGGATCCATCATAAATCATCTTGATTTTTGCATGTATTCTTTTAAGAAAGTGGTACCTAAATATCTAAACATTTGCAATAACTTGTAACATTAAATAATAAAGTGGACTTTGATATTGAAATTTTATAGCAGTTTCAGCAACTTAAACTGTATTTTGTTGAAGCAGTAAAATAAAGGGCAGGGATCATATTCCATCTGTGCTTAGATTATTCACAAATTCACATTGATTCTGATAATCTAAACTCATTTTTATTTTATGCCATTGTACAGCTGGAGCCCTGGTGGCACAGTGGTTAAGCACTTGGCTGTGAACTGAAGGCTGACCTCTCAAACCCACCAGCTGCTCCATGGGAGAAAGATGTGGCAGTCTGCTTCCGTAAATTTACAGCCTTGCAAACGCTCTGGGGCAGTTCTACTCTGTCTTCTAGAGTTGCTGAGTCAGAATCAACTTGATGGCGGTGGGTTTGGTTTGGGCTTTGTTTCTGTAAAGAGTGACAGCTTTAGAAACCCTCTGGAGCAGTTCTGCTCTGTCCTGCCCACTCACAGTGAGTCGGAATCACCGTGACAGCAGTGGATTGGGTTTTGGGTACAGCATTTTAAATATGAAAAGACTTTTGTCTTTCAGTGAGTTTTAAATTTGTGGCATAGAATTTGTTGCTATTAGAGTGTCGATATTTGGGAGTGGAGGCAATTTAAACTAAAACTTTTTTTTTCTAAAACAGTTTCTATATATTAAAAAAAGGTTGCATTATAAATTTTAAAATTAATGAATTTAGAAATAACTTTGTCTTGTGAGATTTTTGTTTTTTTATTCAAATGTGTATATTTGAGAAACTTCAAAAAAGTTTTATGATAATCAGTGAGATTGTGATTTTCCCTTGCATATTTAAATTGTGAGTTTCCCTTTACTTGATCTGTAAATGCTATCCTAGTATTTTGAAAGCTATGACTAAAAATAGGTTTAATGAATCACTCACATTTAAATCATTTTCTTATGGTTTGTTTAGGATGCTCAGTGAAGTCAATGCTGAGATTTATTAAATCCAGCAGCGCCAAAATTTAATCTCATTTTACTGGGACTCATATACTAGCATTTCTTTGTGTGTGATTGCTTTTTTCCCTTTTTTCTCTGTAGGATGCAGAAAACGCAATTGTGCATATGGGGGGTCAGTGGTTGGGTGGTCGTCAAATCAGAACCAACTGGGCCACACGTAAACCACCTGCCCCGAAAAGTACCCAAGAAAGTAAGATGTCTACCATATATGTTAAAACCATAGATTCTTCACAAAATCACATACTGGTGTAGTCTTAAATCCTTTATATTTTATAAACATTGCAAGATTGATTGCATCTGGAATTTGATGGTCTGAAAAAAAACTAGGCTTTGCTCAGAGGGGGATCTATGTAGGAGATCCTGGATAGAGTGGGAGAACAATATGGAACAAAACTCAAAATCATTTAAAAAAAAAAAAGGACCAGGTTTGCTGGTCTTTTAGAGCTGGATAGGACTGCTAATACTATGGCCCCTAGCTGCCCTTCACATTTGACATTGAACCCACTCCTGTGGCGTCCAGCTAAGCAAAAGATGATATATGAGCTGAACATTTACATCAGGTAGATAGACTCCTTGGAGAGATCAGTCATGGGAGAATAGAAGGGCTGTGTATGCACAGGGAGACAGCTTGGGGGCAGCAGGGCATGGGAGGGAAGGACACAGGGAAGAGGTAACTATGAGGAGGAAGTGGGTAGAAAGCAGTTGCACTGTGAGAAATTGTAGTCAATGTCATGAGACAAAATGTATGTGAGCTGCTATATGGAAAGTGAATTTACTCTGTAAACTTTCACCCAAATCACAATAAAAATTAAACAAAACAAAAACTGGGCTTTGGTTTAAGTGTTTTTGGAGTTGTGAACTGCCTGATTTTATAAATCAAGACAAAAAGTTATATTTTACCATGCTGTTGAGGCATTTATCCACATACTACTATATACTTGAAAATATGTGGAAAGTAGAAAACTAGCTTGTTCTGTAAACTATCACCAAAAACAGAATAAAATATTATTACTTTTTAGAAAAGTACATGGTAATTAACGAAAGATAGCTTTGTGATATTGTACAGTAATCCTCATTTTCATTTTCTTCCTGCATGTAGACAACACTAAACAGTTGAGATTTGAAGATGTAGTAAACCAGTCAAGTCCGAAAAATTGTACTGTTTACTGTGGAGGAATTGCTTCTGGGTTAACAGGTACAGTGTCTGATTTCTAGTCACCTTCTCTCTGGAGCGTCATCACTGTCGACACCTAATTCATGATCTGTATGAGCCTTAAAGATGTTATGTTTTCGTTTCTCAGATCAACTTATGAGACAGACATTCTCACCGTTTGGACAAATTATGGAAATAAGGGTTTTTCCAGAGAAAGGTTATTCGTTTGTCAGGTAAAATTCTACCTGTCATATCCTCTTAGATTTGATCTATGCCTTTCTGTTATATTATTTGGCCCCAAGGTAGCAGTTTGCTAATATAGTACTTTGTAATGTGGAACTTTCTACTATTTGTATAATGTACTTTAGAAAAAAATACCAAGTTGACAGGTATAAGCTAATGAAGTTCTGTATTATTTACTGTGTTAAGTTCTTAAAAAAATAAAAGGCAAAACTTTACTGTCTTTCTCTCTTAGATTTTCAACCCATGAAAGTGCAGCCCATGCCATTGTCTCGGTGAATGGTACTACGATTGAAGGACATGTTGTTAAATGCTATTGGGGTAAAGAATCTCCTGATATGACTAAAAACTTCCAACAGGTAATTCGATTTTTTGTAGACATTTTCAAGTTTCCATCTTACATGTCTACATAAAAGCTCTGGAAATTCTGTAAAATGAACCAACAGAAAAATAAAGCATATAGCTGCTTTCAGTTGATTTTATTAATGCTATTTCAAAAGTGATTATTTTTGCGGTATTAACTGAATCTTAATACTTTCTTTTCACAGGTATCACCACCCCAATAAACTTAGACAATGATAAATAACAGAGTCCCATTCACATAAGGGTGCTTACTTAGTTTTTCTCTTCCTTGTCTCCCACTCTTTCTTCAAATACGGTATTTCTTACTTATTACTTAAAACAGTAATCTGCTTTTTCCTAGGTGGACTATAGCCAGTGGGGCCAATGGAGCCAAGTTTATGGAAACCCACAGCAGTATGGACAGTATATGGCAAATGGGTGGCAAGTACCGCCTTATGGAGTGTATGGACAACCGTGGAATCAACAAGGATTCGGAGTAGAGTAAGTTGTATTTTTCCAGTATAGAAACAGATATCATTCTGACATGACAAAAATTGCGTTGTCCTAAGGGGACTTTATTTAAGTTAAATGCATTGAGCTAATTGATGTTATAAGCATTATAGAAGCAAATCGTATGAAATGTAGTTTGTGAAGCTGAAAATTATTTTTTGTTACACAGTTGGAAATGGAAGTTGAAGTAAAACACACACACGAGTGTGTTCTACCCCAGTAAGGAGCTGGTAGAATTTGATTTACATTCCTAATCTGTTAGTTTATTGTTTATTTTTGCCTATAAAAGATGTTTAACTGGACATTGATCTGATATAAAGTAGCCTTTTGCCTTTGTTGATAATTGAATGGGTTGGTTGCTACTTTGTACTTTTTGTCTTCCAGACCAGCCCAGACCTTTATTTTCATTAGTTCCTTCTTTTGGAACTCTTTTCAACTTAACTTGTGTTTTAAATTTTCTTACAAATTAGTGTACTGTGTATACAATATATTATGGGTAGATTAGGTATTGAAAGTCAAGTTAAGACTAATAGCTATGCAGCATTATTATACTTTACAAGGTATTGTTTTTTTCTTTGCTCTTTCTGTTCGGTGTAGGTTTGTTGATATGTGTTTGTCTGTGATTAGGCTCTTCTAGATTTGGCTATAAATGTGTAGGTGATTGTTTTTTCTTTTGTGTTTGCTGAAGAGTTGTTTTCTCTCCCCAAGTCAATCACCGTCTGCTGCTTGGATGGGTGGATTTGGTGCTCAACCTCCCCAAGGACAAGCCCCTCCCCCTGTAATCCCTCCCCCTAACCAAGCTGGATATGGCATGGCGAGTTACCAAACACAGTGAGCTGGGGCTCTGAGCACAGTCGCCATTCACGACAGGCTTCAGTTTCCTGGGACACTCTGAAGACACGAGAGTAGACATCGGAAAATGAGAATATTTATTTTGAAAATTGAAATGTTTGGAACCTTTAGCACAGCTTTGCTTTGGTGAAGGACACATGTCTTCTAGTTCTGCCTTTTTAAGTTTTTGTTCATGATGGATATGAACATGATTTTTCTTTGTGTACAAAAACTAAAATAAAGTCAATAAAGACAATTCTGACTGCAAATTTTGATGTAATAGGAGAAGTGGGTGATACGTTTTGAATCTTAGATACAATTCCATTTTTATCTTACTGTTCAGTATTTTAACTCACTATGTTTTTAAAAGAGCAGAAAAGGGAGGATTGAAAAACTGGGGATCCCCTGTAAGTTCATCCTGATACTCCCTCCCTCTCGCCCCAAATGGACCACATTCGAAGTCAGCAGAGAAAAATGCTGTGCAGAAGACAAGCGTGATTTTGGAGTCACTCTGGAGGAAGTGCTTCCTTTCTCTGCCTGAAGAACCTGAACCCAGACTGACGAAGAAACCGCATCCCCTAAGGAGCAGCGTTGTCTGAGATGCTTGAGCGAATGTTTGGTCCACATTCAGACATATTTTAAATGTCGAAAAGTGTTGATTATTAAAACCGTAGTAAATTACATTTCATTTTGGGGGGGCAGTATTCCAAGTATGGTGTTTGTATTGAAGTCAAACAGTCATACTTGTGCTTTTACATGAAGTTTAAATGATACGCTGTAAATATTGAATAACTGCAGTGTTTAAAAAGCATGCTTCAACATAGAAGTAGCAGCAATGTAATTATCTGAAGTAACACTTAACTTACTCCGCTGCTTTGAAGACAGTGGGCTGATGAGAATGCTCAAGACTGATTTCCAAGGTTGGCTACTATGTAAAATTAAAATTATACAAATTATTATACAGAAGAAGCCTTAACTTTAATTTCATACAAATCTTTAATGCATTAGTACATTTTAAATTGTCATTGGAAATTTTTTTCTTTACATTATTTGGTATGTAAATACCTTGATTCTAAACCTTGTAAACCTATTTCAAGGTTCTATGAGTTGTATAGTATACGTGTTTTTTAAAATCTTGGGGTGTTTTTTAAAATTAGATCTATTTTGCCCAAGAGTTTTTTAACAAATTGCTGAAACATCTTAGTTCGTTGTACCAATTTATAATTGGGCGTTCAGTTTAGATGTCCAGTGGGGACTGGTATGTAGCCTTTTCTCTGTACGGGGAGTGTGTGTGAAGTGATGGGCTGAGCAGAGGCTGGACTTTGCTGTGTGTAGAGAAGATGGTAAGGCTGAGGGTTGCTCCTCAGCTGCTTTTCAGCCTATGTGAATACAAACTGCCTCACATTTTTATTCAAACAGCATTGTAAACAGAGAAGATGATGTGTGTCTGAATCTTGACAGCTAGGGGGTGCCAGTGCTTCAGCCTGGTCTTTGAAATGCTTGGCGGCCTGGCCACGAAAACGAGAAAAGAAGCCTTTATGCTTAAGTAGTAAGTAGGATGCATCTTGCACCCACAGATGCTATTTTTTAAACCTTTCAAGTTTGCATACAGTTAGCTTTAAAACAATGATGTAAATTGGTGTGACCACAGTTTGTAAATTGGTAACCACAGTAATTTTGGTATTACTTTCCTTTGTCCCCCACTTACAAGTATAGCCACATGTATTCATCATAAAAATGTACAAGGTCTGAAGTTCTTCATCTTTGGACCACATTTTTTATGTCACTTTCTTTAGTTTTAACTACAATAGTCATCTATTGCATTCTCATAAAATTTACCCTGATTACTTTTGTCCATAGTTAGTGTCTTTGGAGGATGTTTTTGAAGAAGTTAACTTTATATTTTATAAGGAGAATGTTCAAAAAATTGTATCAATTATGCCTCCTAGTTAAAAATTACATGAATATATATGAAACTTGAATAACTAAAGACTTTTTTCTTACATTGATAAAAGCCTGTTAAATTCTCAGTTTGCCTTTTTTGGTCTGCCAATAAAGTAAGTCACTCACTGAGATAACTGACAGCTGAACGTAGCTACACTGTTCCTGGCCATCCAGGTGCTAGGTATGTTGACAGCTGAACACAGTCGCAGTGTTTCCTGGCCATCCAGGCGCTAGGTATGTTGACAGCTGAACACAGTCGCAGTGTTTCCTGGCTATCCAGGCGCTAGGTATGTTGCCATGGTGAGCATGTGACTGAAGTGTCCTTCCTCTCATCTGAGAACAGGATTTCATGATCAGTTCAGTTCATGGAAGCTGTTCCATGTTAAAGCATTTTTACAGTGTAGATCGACTTAGCCAAATTAAATGCACTATTTCAAAATACAACTGTTAAGATAACAGAGTCAGACTATTTTTTTAACACAAAGTGAAGTCAGTGCTATCTTGATCCAATTTAAGCCTCAGAATCGTTGCCTTTTCTATGTTTATTAAAAACAGCAGCAGAGATTCTTGGCCATGCGAAAAAATGTTTCTTGTTTCATAATTATTTGGAGATTTCTTTTGGTGATGTGTTTCTGACTACCATCTTTGCTCTAGTAATCTCTCTACTAGTGTTTTCCCCATGCCATTCCTATTTGATTTTTATGTCTTCTGGCAGTGAGAGGCTAAAATGACTGGCCAACTTAAGCCAAAGCTGTAAACCACAGTTGAAGTAAGTCTTTTCAATAAAGACTAGATTATGTAAGTGGCTTTTTCTTATTGTCATTAATTGCATAATTAACTCTTTCCAGGCTGCCACAAAACAAACAATTTAGTATGTGGAATAGATTCATGACTCATTTTTCTAGGTTCTGTGTGTTAAAAGACCATTAGCTTTGTTAAATTTAATCTCTGACTGTAGAGGAGTAGACATGTGCGTCCTTCCAAAAATGTGTGTTCTGTTGAATAGTAATATAGTAAGACCTCATTAATTTGGAGTCTGTATGTATGGGAGCCATCATTTTACTGTGCCTAGGAGCCCTGGTGGCATACTGAGTAAGCACTCAGCAGCTAACCGAAAAGTTGGTAGTTCAACCCACCAGCCGCTTAAAGGGAGACCTAGTGATCTCCTCCAATAAAGACGACAGCCTCTGTCACATGAGGTCAAGAGGAGTCAAAACTCAGCTTGATGGCATCTAATGCCAGCGGTTGATCTCTTGTGGTATCTCTCTGTAAAGATTGTGTTTGGCCAGCATCAGAAAAATCATTCAGAAGCATTCTAGATATTTCCAGCAGGTATGCCCAAATGAAATCTTACACAATTGAAAGCCATTTTGGGGGCCTCTCCTTAATAATGTAAACATTGAAGCTAATTTTTAGTTTCTATTGGAAAGATGCAATAACTATTTTAGACTTCTGGTTTATGTAAGCTTTCACTCTTAAATGATGTAAATGAGGAGATTTTTTTTTTTTCCTCTTAAATCTTTCTTTTTTTTTTTTTTAATTAGGATTTGGGTGAAGATTTACAGAGTAAATTCACTTTTCATACAGCAGTTCACATATACTTTGTCTCATGTCATTGACCAAAATTTACAATGCAGCAGCTCCCCTCCCACTTCCTCCCCATAGTTACCTCCTCCCAGTGTCCATCCCTTCATACTCTTCTGCATCCTGAGCTGTCTCCCTGTGCATAAGCAGCCCTTCCTTCTCCCATGATTGTTCTAAATGAGGAGATTTTGGTTAAGGGTACATACTGCTGTGTATAGCAGTAACTGCCCCAGTAATGGTGCTCTAATGGGCTACAGTACATTTGGTCACCATGACAAATGATGTGAAGAATTAAGACTTAAAAATATGTTTTATTGTAAACTTGGGTAAATTCATGGGGTGTTTGAATGCCATATCAACGTGAAACTGGAGCTCCAGTTTCTTACTGAAGCAGGATGTATTTTGAAATGTAGTGCAGCTAGCCCAGGTGCTCTAATTCATAAGGTGCTTTTGTAAATATTCTCTTGTAGGGATAAGAATGACCGTCTAGTTTTAGAAATACTTTAAAAATCTGTGGGAACTGTAATTTATATCTAGGAAATAGAGAAAAAAAATAAAATAAGTTTTTCCTTTCCTAGGAGAAGGGGAGCCCTAATAGGAATTGGGCTTTTCGTAGAATTTGATTTTTGCTTAAGAGAAGATAAAAGATTAATCCACATAACTTTTCATAGTTTGATTTTAAACTGTCAATTAGAGTAACTGTTGGTAAAAGGTGTGTATCTATTTTTCTTCTTCTTAAAGTCTTCAACTCAGATCTAATACTTTGATTAAATTTTTTAAATTTTCAAAATTGTTTTTCAAAATCCACAAACTTGCTTCTCTGAGATGTTCCTCTGGGAAAGTGACCCCAATCTAATGTCTTCAAGTCACCTTGGAAAGCTTGCCAAGCATGAATGAAACTGTAGTGCTGTTTTATAGCTGTTTGAGGAAAGCCAGGGTGGTTGTGTGTGTAACGGTAATCTCTCATGGTCAGGCTGTCCAGTTGTTGATATTGCAGCTGGGCCTAGCTTGCCTGTGGGCCTCCTGTTTTGACTCTGTTCTGTTCTTGTGAACTGACGAGAATTTTGCAAAGATTCTGTTTATCATATGGTTGTGCAGGATTGTGGCATTTTTAAGTAAAGCAGAATTTACTATATACAACCAGTAGGTACCATGACTTGCCTAATTGTGTGTCTGTTGCCATCTCCTCCCCCCACCCCCAAATTCCTGTTTCTTTCTTAGGTCTGGGTATACCAGTGGGAGGAAGTCTGAAACCATCTGGAGAAAATGGGCTGAAATACGTGGCCATGTGCAACTGTGTGTATCCTGGGAATCAATATTAACACTGTGTAAATTTCAGATTTTCACATACAGTCATTTTACTGGCTGCAAGTTATGGGTTGAATTGTTCTGTATGTGGCTTCTGTGATTGCATTTGCAATAAAGCTAATGCATGAGTCAACACAGCTGAAAAATAATTGAGGGTTCCCACTTCTTAATCTTGACTCTCTTGCAAAGGAAACTTGCAAAAAAAAAAATTTTTTTTTTTTAAACTACTTTGCTTTGGTTGTATTTTAGCATAAGGCACAGCTCATACTTGGCTGTCAGTTTAATGGGGATTCAGGCTGGAAAAGGAGTGTGAAGAGCTCGTATGGTCACGCCTGTGAGAGCTGGAACGCAGTGGGACTGCCTTGCTTTTCTGGGTCTCACGAGTTTCCCACCTTTGATGGGTTGCAGTCTTACCACTTTTCCATTGTTCTCTATTAGTGGGAGATACTTGAATTTTCCTTCTCTGACAGGTTTCTGCCTTACCCAGCTTCCAGCTTTTTTCACAGGTTTTACTGTATAAGACTAGACAGTTAACCAAGAAGGGTAGGAAGCTCAAAGAGTTACTGAAAATAAAATACTGCTGATATCTGTGTCTTACTTACTGGTACTGGCCCTGATAGTTTCTTTTCAATTTCCTTTAAGATGTGTATTTATTTAGTAATGTATCTATGCATGTGTTAGAATGTGGGGCAAATACTACTCTTAAAATAATGGCCTTTGAGCATTTTTAGTGAAAAGATGGGATTAGAACCACCTTCAGAATCGACCTGTAACTTACGCTCTTATTTTTTTAAATAGATAACATGGCTCCCTTGTTGCTTCACTTGGTTTGTATCATATTTTGATTATGTCAGTCTTCTGTGATTAGAATGTAAGCTCCAGGAGGGCAAGGACCTTGTTTTGTGACCTGTGCTTAACCCTAGGATCTATGACAGTGTTTGGCACGTGGTAGGCATTCAGTAAATGTTGGTTGGACGTATGAATGGGATTGAGGGAAGGAAGGTAAACCTCTCCCCCTTGAAACTAGAATACCTGGTGTTCTGCTCTAGTGCACGTCATAGTCGAGGGGTGTTGGTTAAATGCAGATTCTGGGGCCCTGCCATCATGGGTTCAGAGTGTATTAAATTAATTGGCCTGGGTTGCACACTGTTTCTTTTTTCCTCTTCTGGCTCTTAGGAAAGAGAGGCAAAAGCTGTTG